AGACAAGGCGATGCCGATGCCGAGGAAGCTGCAGAGGATGCTGAAAACCAGGTCTGGCAGGCCAAGGTCACAGCACTCCGAGCCCAGCTGGAGGCAGACCAGAAAGCTGTGAAGAGCATGGCTGCCGGCCACAAGGTCTTGCGTGACCAGTCCCTTGGCTTAATAGTTTCTTATCCAGCCCAGCAGCCAGGCCGATCAAGGCAGCCTTGCTTGTGACTGCCAGGCTGGACTGGATGCGGCACCAACGCCGGAGCTTGGAGATCGAGCGTGCGACAACCCTGGTTGGCCTGTACACCGGCTGGTTCCATCCGGTGCTTAATTGCCGAAATTTGAGCGAAGCTGCGGCCTGCTACCAGGAAAAGGACTTTGCTACTTGACCAGCATAGAAGCATGTTTGACAGCTTTCCAGATTCCAGACCCAGCAATATGAGACTCAACATTTTGAGACTCAGGAGATGAAGGTGCCGCTGTGTCCGCCTCCAGCCACCGGGGCTGCGTTTATCTCAGAGGAGGCCAAGTTCAACCAGCTCACAGTGGTGCGGATTGACTTGAATGTCCCAGGGGCTTCTTGCTTGAAATATATTCTACCTGAGCAGAGCTTTCTTTTGAGTGGGCCATGCCATGTTGTGGTTGCAGACCAGAGGCCCGCAATGCCTTGATGCTGGACAAGCTCTTGTGCTGCAATCGGACTGGGCACTGACTCTTCATCCTTTCGAAAGCTATTATGTGAGTGCAAACAAGGTACCCGAGCCTTGCTGCCAGTGTGGCCAAGATCCGTGGAGCCGACAAAGTCCTCATCCTGGTGACCACACCGACCAGGTGCCTAGGGTGTGTTGTGAAGTGTATTTCGTGAAGTGTATTGTGGTTGTGTGACGAGGTCGAAGGAGGACAGCAACCAGGATCCCATTGAGGACGAGTGGGCCCTGGTCCAAAAGATGAAGAAGGAGAACTTTGTCAGCCTCACTGCCACCCAGGAGCCACATGACAGCTTCCTCTTAAGTTCAGTGTTCTGTCTTTATGTGTTCTTGTGAAGTTTCTCACAATTGGTCAGGAGTTGACAATTGAGGGGCACGACATCACCTCGTCGGACCCGTTTGTGCAGTACCGGATCTTCTTTTATGCCCCGTCGATCAAGAAGGCCTTGGAAACCAATATGTGGGGCAAGAGCTTGCTTGCAACTTGACTGCAGAATCCTGGCTTCTTGGGCATTGCTTGCTGTGCAGATAGTGACATTTATGACACATTGAGACCGTTGAGAGACAGCCTTACAACTTCCGAGGTGAGAACCTGCAAAGTGCCCGTTGCTGCTTTGCCCTCCCCGGGTGACATGGTGCACGTGATCAGTGCATCATCGAACTCGGAGACCGAAGTCTCCAGGCGTTCGGTCAAAAATTGTTGTTGGTTTGTGCCAAAAAACACGACTTGTCACAGGTTCAGAAGCCTCGCCGTTGTCCGAGCCTCCCAACGTGGACCTGCTGTCTACGAAGCCCTGCTGGTGCAGTTGCTGGCCTCGTCGGCTGGCATCCAAAGCCAGGGCAACCAGAAGCCCGCCGGTTTCCTGAAGAAGGAAGACCTGGTGGACGTCCTGGATTGCCACCCGTTCGCAGGGGACATGGCATTGGGTGCCAGCCGACTGAGAATGGCTGGCAACCTCCCATGCCGTTTGCGCGTGTGGAACCTGGAGTTCACAGGGAGCCACTTGGAAAGCACTTGGAAGTAATGGTTTTTTTTGCAAACCAGAGTTCCCAAGAAACAGCATAGAAGCTCATGTTTGCCAGGGTTTCCAAGTTTCAGTACAGGCCAGGGCACAGCCTTTGCCATGAAAAGGTTGGCGCAAATGGTTGCGTCCAAATGGCTGAGCAAGCAGCTGCAGCTGTTCGAGCGCCAGGAATCCAGCAATGTCTTGAAGCCCGTGCTGCCGAGGATGGATGAGACCCTGACTCAAGCAGAGGAGCTGGAGCTAAAAAAGTATCCGGGAGTCCACGAGGCCTACCAGGGCTTGGGCAAGCTGAGTTTGCGAGTCCTGGCTGCTTGCTGCAGATTATGAGTGTATAGAGACAGAACAGAGAGAAACCAGCTTCAGAGGAAGGGAGACATAGCTGAGGTTCTGCGCGGCCATGTGACAATGCTGGACCCGGTGAAGGTCGCTGAGTTCCAAACTGGTCCTCCGAGTGTGCGGGCTGCAACTGTGCTGCAGCTGAGCCATTAATCCACAGATATCTATATATATATATATATACATACTTATTGCTCCTCCCTTTCCCTAATCCTGAGACCTCATCCTGAGGCGATCAAAGCCATGGAGGAGGAGCACTTGGAGCACTGGTCCGAGGCATTGAGTTGCTTCCAGAGCGGCACCACCGTCCAGAACGACACCAGCACGGAGGATCCCAGGCCGGTTGTTCCAGGGGAAGATGAGCAAGGAGAAGCAGGGGCAGGAGAGGGCAAGATCCAGGTACTGTCTGACCCAGCCGCCATTGAGAGCCCTGACCTCGACTGCAAGAGTTTCGACAACTCGAAGGTCCTCATCATCAAGAAGAACGGTGAGTACTTCTTGAAGGCCACTGCAGACCTCAGCCTCCCGCGCGGCTTTAGAATCGCAGGCTGCGGTGGTGGGAAGCTGACTCAGCAGCAAGGAGCCCACTCCGTCGGCTTTGAACTTGACCAGGGTGACAAGACCTGGGTTGAGGTGGCAATCGGCCAAAGCTCGGACGATGCCGAAGTTGAAGGCGTCGTCAAGAAGGGCTCGATTGAGCACAGGGCGACCTTGTACCAGGTCCTCAAGGAGTTCCTGACCTAGAGTTGGACACTCACCCTAAACCCTAAACCCGAGCCCCTACACCCTAAACCCTAAACCTTAAATTGAGCCCAGGCTGCACAAGACCACCGCCAGCAAGGAGATCCTTTGCGCCGGCTGGAAGTTCACCACAAAGCCAGCCGGCGCTGGCTCTCACGGCTGGAATGTGGAGAAGACGGAGAATTGGTTCTACGCCTTGAGGGACAAGGATGAGAAGAAGACCACTCCTGGAAATGTTGTTTCTTTTGCTGCGTTAGCCGTTCAATTCTGCAAGTTCCTACTCCATTCTGCCTTTCTTGCTGTCTTGCTGCATGTTTTGTTCTCCTGCTTCTTACCGGCTCAGGCAAGAGAGATGATCCTTGCGGATGTGAAGTTCTCCCCCTCCATTGTCTGGAGCTGGAAGTTTGCCTTCGACCCGGTGCACGCAAAGTTGACAGCAAAGAAGCCGACTTTGGTTTTGAATGAGGCACTGCGTTTGAAGAGCGGCCAGTATGTCAAGCTCGGCCAAGCTTGAGCTTAAAGCAGCAGCACAGTTCAACCCAGGAAAGAGCTTAAAGCTCGTGCCTCTGGAGGTCCGAGGAAACGGCACAGGGTCAAGTCTTCAATTTTGGATGTCTGCGTAGTTAGTTCGGAGCCTGGGCTGCCTCACTGATCCTACACGGGGTGGTGGTCTTTATGCATGGTTCTTGTTTCATTAGGCAAATATTCGGGGTCCTGTACATTTAGGGGCTGTGTTAAAGCATGAGGGTAACAGAGAAAGAGGCCACCACCAGCCTTTCTAAGGTTTAACCTGACAGCATCAGCAAAGTTCAAACCAGGAAAGAGTCTTAAGCTACTGCAGATCAAGGTTGGAAATCCGAGCGTGCGCAGGCTCAAATGTTTAGTGTGTGCGAAGTCAGTTCGGATCCTGGACAGCTTCACTGAGCCTTGGACCCTCTCACTGGTTCAGTCTTGAAGCCTGGCCTGAGAAGTAAGATTAGGGTCTTGTTCCGAAAGGAGCTGCCCTGACACTAGGGGGCCGAGGAAACGGCGCAGGATCCTCAATGACTGTTTCCCTGCAAGTTTGCCTGATCCTGGGGCCCTCTGGTGGGTTCAAGCTTTGAACAGCAGCACAGTTCAACCCAGGAAAGTTTCTGACTCTTGGGTCCGAGGAAACGGCGCAGGGTCACCTTGTCAACTCGGCTCCACTGTTGTGAGCAAAACTAGCCAGGGCAGTGCATGTGCTTGGCAACACAGAGCCGCTTTAAGGGTTCAGGGTTGAAGTGTTTTGAGAATCCTCCAGGTACAGATTTGGAGCTGAAGTGAAGCACCAGTCGGAGCCCGAGCTTGCCTTCGGTTATACATCTTTGGCGCAACGTTGTTGCAGAGCAGTCTTTAATTTTGGCTGAAGCATGCAGCGAGCAGTGCAGGACTAGGCACAGAAGCAGAGCAGGACTGGGCACAGAAGCAAGACAAGAAAAGCCATGCAGACCATTGGAGTTCATGAAGAGCTTACTCAGTGCAATGCCGGGTTCAGAACCTCATCCTGCACAGATTGTGGCATTGCTTTGCAATGTCGATGAGTGATGAGTCGACGTCAGAACCTTCTGGAGAACCTCCCCAGCCGAAGTCGACTGAGACAGGACTTTGCCATAGCTATGTTATTCATATTTGTGTTCCTGACAATAAAGTCAATAAAGCAAGGACATTCTGAAGAAGAATCTCAAGAGACATCAGAAGCTCCGGCCAGTCCGGAAACTCGTCGCATACAGCAAGCAGAAAAGGACTGGGCGCAGAAGCAAGGCAAGAAGAAGCGAAAAGCAAACCATGCAGACCAAGTCAGCTCGGACCATGAAGATGATGCTCAGCAGAATCCCGGGTTGAGAAGCTCATCTTGCACCGATTTTGCAAGCTACCTCCTGAACAATGTGCTTTCCAGTGCAGAGCTGAAAAAAATCACAGCGAATGAAGTGAAGTTTGCAGAATTCTGTGCCGGCATGGGCACCGGTTCGCAGTCGCTGGCTCCTTGTCTGGGATAGTGCACTGACTCATGTTGTTTGCCTGCAGCAGTAGCTGGATATGCCAGTTTTGCCTGAGGCGATGTGGCAAAGAGTCTTGCGGCAAGACCATGACATATCACTGGAGGTTACACCATGTTTTTACACTGAACATGTCAAGTGGAAGCGAGAGGTGTTGCAAAAGATGCTGGCAGCTCAGGGGCACAATTTGGGTAAAGTGCCTGTGTATGGACCCACCTCAGAACTGGGATCGGTGCCGGCAGCAGCCCTGCCATCACTATCCCTGGCTATCATTGGTGTGGAATGTGACGATGTGTCGAACCAGACCAGAACCCCGAAGAGCATTGTGGATGCTAGCGGACACAGTGGGAGCAGTTTCCTTGAGTTCCACAACTTCATCAAGGGCCTGGAGTGGTCGAAGAAGCCGGTGGCCATCATGTGGGAGTGCGTCAAAAATTTGGATGCTCACAGGCAAAGCTTGGATGAAAAAGGTACATCTGTGATAGATGACCTGATGCGAAAGCAAGGCTACGTTTCATGCTTCCAGGCAACTTTGCTGCTTTGGGATTCGGGGTTGTTTGGT